TTCCAAGAGAAGGCCAAGGCCACTGCCACAACACCGGCGTCGCTCTGAGGTAGTTTTCTTTCTCCCCTCCCATTCTTTCTCTCATCTTCTCTGCGCACAAACCACCCCAAACCCTCTGTATTTTCACCCATCCACACCATTTTCTCATACTCTCACCCATATCTTTCCTCCCCCTCTCTAGCTTCCCTCTCCGTTCTCCGGCTGTTTCTCCGAAACCTCTCGCAGCACACTCCGAAACCCCTTACATCTCTGTCAACACACCCACATCCTCACAGCACAAACACACACCAACTACCATAGACCCACCAAAACCACAGCCATCACCATCACCACCACACCCGCTTCCTCGTCTGCCTCCACCTCTTCATATAATCAACACCCACCACTTGTTTGATGGTTTGCTTCAAAGAAAATGCATTATCTGATGGTTTGCATCTACTAATTTCTGTGTTCAATCTCATTCTAGTCACCTCAATTTCTAATTATGTGTTAGTCCTATAGTGATTTTAGTTTTTACACATGCAATATTCTTAAAGATTATAAACCTACATATCTGCGACATTGATTTTTTTTTAATACATATTTTCAGGTTATGAATGGAAGAAGGAGGTTTAAAGGTGGTTATTTTAATATGCTTATTTGTTGTTTCAGCTGGTAAAGGTAAAAATTTATTAATGCAATATTGAGAAATATTGTAAAGTTCTGTCTGTATGTGTGGGTATGTGTATGCATTGGTCTTTTGTGCCTACTACTTTTCTTGGTAGAATAGAGGAGAAAAGTTTGGGATTTGCCACTCCTACTCTCCTTTTCTAGCTGCATCTAATTTGTCTTAGTTTTGTTTCTAATTTTATTTATTTAGTGTGATTATTTAATGTTGAATCAATGAGATGGAACTACTGGATCTCACGTATCATTTTCTGGGTTTGGCTTAATTATACTAAAATTGCAATGGAAAAAATCAATTCTAGATTGTGAATTTGTGATAAATTTACTTGGTCAATATTGTACTAGCATGGCTTATGGTCCTCTTCTCTTCAATTGAAGTGTATACATCTATCACTAGTTCATTCTTCTTAGTATGTTCAACTACTCAAATATGCTAGGTTGGATTTATTCTTGATCATCGGAGGTGGTGCTAGGTAGTGTTGTTTTGAAAAAAGTGTGACTTGGTCGGATTTGGTGATGATTAGTGGTTTGGTCGAATGGGTTTCTTTGGTGCTTGAAATTGAAATTTCTTTGGTGCTTGATTAGTTGTTAAATTTGATATTAAGTTGATTTAATGGGTTTTTAGGCTTTCGTCTGTGAAAGCAAGATTAGGTTTTTATATATGGTATTGAAGTTGCATTTTACATTTTGAATTATTGCATTTGAGATTTTTTAATTGATTCCTTTTTTTTAATTAGCGTGTACACAAACATTCACCGGCAAAACACTCGTGCACATTGACTTTGCAATTCACTTAATAGCAACACTTATATATACTTGCACTCACCCATTAGTGCAGTGCTCACAAACAATTCATGCAACACTGTATGTGTGGGAAGTGTGCTTGGGGTTTTATGTAATTGATTTTTGTTCGAGAAAAATGAAATTGATTTTTGTTCCTTACATTATTTTCAATGTAGGAGCTGATGTGGATGTTAATTAAATGCATGCATTTGGAATTATTTGGATTTGATATATGCTGATCTATAATTTCTCTAATGACTATTGGGTCGCCTTTACGTGGTTGAGTTAATTGATAAATAGTGTATTAGGCATAACTGTAGCATGATAATGAGACTTTTGGTAGTCTTTTTGGATATGAAAATAAATTGGGTATATAGGTTGAAAATTTTGTAATCCCATTTTTAGGGGAATCTTTGGCCAAATTTTATGGTACGTGTGTGAAAAAATAAAAATTTTGTTTCATGAAGTTAACACTGATGAGACTTAAGGCTTAATGCATTGCAGAATTGAAGGCTTTGAAGCATAACCCACCAAAACAAATCCAAGCCTACAAATAAAACAATGACATGCCAACCACTTTAGCAACAAACCCATTATCTTGAATGTATGATTGACATATGTAGTTGAATGCTTCTTTGCCTTTCTTTTTTTTTTTTCAACTTCATCTTGGCATTTCCAAGAGTGGTAACTGATAGAGAGAGAGAGAGAGAGAGAGAGAGAGAGAGAGAGAGAGAGAGATGGGTTAACTAATGCATATTTTCACTTGAAGTGCAGGAAAAACACGTTGAGAGAGATGGGTTCACCTTGAATGGATTTGACAATACATTACCGTGTAGTTAACCCTAGAAAGTGGGCTTACATTACCATGCAATTAACCTCACAAAGTGAGCATCCATGACTCTATAAGAATCGACCATCTATATCGAATGGTGGTTTCTTCTCCAGAGTTTTTTGGTGGTCTTTTTTATGATGAATAAATCCTGGAGACGTAAAGAGTAGGTATTCCATCTAATATAGATTAGTTTGTTAGCATGACTAATTTTTCGTTTGTCGGGTAAAAGGACTGACCTAGATGTAATTGCGTAGGATGAACTAGGTAACCAAAAATCACGATTATTGGTATAAAGCTAGATGTAATTATGGTTATCATATAAAGTGGGTAGTTTAACATGGAATGTGGGATAGTGGGCTAATGTAGTAGTTGGTAAGGTGTAGGTGGCAATAGTTGATTGTATGATGCTTAATTAAATAAATGAAAATTAGAACTGCTAGAGAAAAGGGGAGGGAACCTGCTGAGTGCAGTTCAGACATAAATTGATTGTTATATAAGATAATAAGATTTGTTTTTATTGGTACTAATGTTTTTCACTTTTGAATATCATAATTTTTTAGGATAATTATTAATTTTTATTATTGTTTTATTGTATGACCTGTCCATCCAGTTGACTCAATAGTTGAACCAGTGACCCATTAACCTCGTCTCTTTGCTGAGTTGATGTCCGGGTTGGTTTATTATTATGGTTTCAACTTCACATCCACTTGTAGTTGTTTCATATTCCACTGACGAATATGAAGTTGAACATGTTGAAATGTCGGAAGAAAATAATACTAAGCCAACGGCCAAAACTAGTGCACACCCTTTTAATTAAGAAAAGGTTGCCAATGAACCAATTGTATTTTGCTTTTTTTTTTAACACCACCAATTAACCAATTGTGAGAGAGAAAGAGAGAGCCTTAGAAGAGACGAACACGAAGAGTCTTATACAAGTCCTTCTAATAGCAGCAACCGACTCAGACGAACTAGTTGCAACTTTCAACCAATCAAGGGAGAGTGATGACCTCTGTTCGACTTCGATGTATGGATTCGAAGGATATGGTATTGATTGATGAGATGCGTGGCTTTTTCTTTCCCCTTTTTTGTAACATGCTCTATGCGATTTGGTGTTTTATTGGGGTTAGGGTTTTCATTTGGAGTCTGGTTTTTGATTTTGGAATAGATTGAAATTTGGGGGTTGTGATAGGCAATCTAGGTCATGAACGACCCCCGTTTGGGTTAGTGCAATTGAGATCGCGGGTCGTAGGGCAATGAGCGTTTTCTGGTAACCTTGGTCAATATATCTTTGTTGTGATGGTTTTAGCCCTAATATTTTTTCCCCTCTATTAGAAAAGATTGCATAGCTAAGTTGGACTTCACTTGCTTTCAACTACAATGTTGATTAATGGACTTGCTAAATTTAATTTGTATCACATTAATAAATGAAAATGTATTTCCCTGGCTGGTTGACTGATGCAACAAAAAATTAATGTATCCCTTGTTCCAATTTATGAGATATAGACTAATATGGACCTATTTTAAGCCATGAAAAGGAACCTTCAGAGCAGAGGAAGATCATCTCTTCCCAAAACTTGGTTTTTGATCACTGGTAGACAAGTTGTCTGTATAAATGCTGACTTCTACCATATGAATAGCAATTTCAGTTTCTTCTCGAATTGTTATGTTCTTTTCCTTCTTGGTGTATCTTGCTTATTCTACTCTTTCCTAAGTGTTTAAAAATGCAACAAAATAAAAAGATTTGATGAAAGGAGAAGGAGGAGGATAGAAAAGACTGATGGGTGAGGGTGTCCTTCTTTGGCTTGTTAACAGAAGTAAGGACTCCGCCATAAACAAGGTAGGTAGATTGAAACTGGCCGTACAATTCCTCATGATAGAAAGTGTTAAACACTTAGCTACAAAAATTACCTTCTTTAACTCAAGGAAATGCTTCAAAGATGGTGCCTTAAGGTTCCTAGGCCATGTTTTTTTCTTCCTTCTAATGCTCAGAATCTCATCTCATGACCGTTCAAAAAAAAAACCATCATCTCATTTTCTTCCAGTGAGATCCTTTCTTCTCTTCTATTGGCATTCATCTATCTCAACATCATCTAAGCCATGTGTGTCTTTTTCTCTTCTTTTTACTGGTTTCATAACTTCCCAAGGTTTGTATTGTGACCAATAGCTGGATGTAGAACCTTCTTTAAAAGTTTGCCTTTTAACTTGGTAGGATTTTAGGACAACACTTGGCTGTTTTCATCAATATTTCTTTAATTCTATTAATAAAGTTTCCTGCACTCTCAAATTTTTTTATGAATACTTCATTTAATACAGTGGAATGATCACTTGTATTGTAGGTCTCCCTATGCTATATCAATTTTCACAAACACCTTTTTATTTGTCAATGTTTGTTCTGTAGATGAATGAACCTTTAAAGTCTTATTCTAGATATCCTTTCTTGAGTTTCAAGTTAGAAACTAAGAGTCATTTCTACCCAGAGTTTTGTCAAATGGAACTAGGTCGTTGGCCAGCAACATTGTCCATGATTAATTCCATTATTGACACTAATTACTTTAAGCACAATGCCAAACGGTTTTGACTCTATCAAAATTCTTGTTATAATCTTGTCATTGTTGAAGATTTACTTGTCGCCACTCTAGCACATCTTTGATTGGGTAATGCTTGTCTTTGCTAAATCAAATCAATAAATGCCATATAAGATTTTTTGCTTTGTTAATTTAGAATTTTGTTAATTCCACTGAGGCCCCAATCTAACACCCTTACCCTATGAAGCGTATTCTCCCTTCCTTCAACGTTGCACTGACTGACAATAGTGAGAAATTAGTTTTCGGTATGTTGTAAGCATGATCTACATTGTGGATCGATAAGTGCAAACATCGAGTAATTGAGGGTATGACCTGATATCAAAGCTTTGGTTCCTTGGTATCATAAATTTTAGTCCCATTGTTAACCTATGGTTCCCCCACTTGCTTGTGCATTGGAGATGCACCAACTTTTTTTGTTTATTCGTGTACATTGATGCATTTGGTTGTATATCTGACCTGATAATAGAGCTTTGGTTCCTTGAGATCATAAGTTTTAGTCTCCTTGTCAACCTATGGTTCCCCCACCGTGTTTGTGCATGGCGATGCACTAACTTTTTTGTTTGTGTATGTACATTGACGCACTTGGTTGTATATATCCCTGTGTGTGCAAGGGTCACTGGCGAGGGGGTGTTAAGAAATTGATATAGATTTTAGGCCTATTCTCAAATTGCTTAAGCTTGTATATTAGTCGAGTTGACTTGTCCAATTTCTAATGTCTACACCTGCGCTAGTTACTCAAGGTCTCTCATTGATAGTTTAGTTAAAAGAAAGTGCAAGTATCTTGCAATTTAGAACAATAGGGAGGCAGACTAGATGCATATTTTCTCTTCAGTATTAATAGATGTACATTGAAACTTCCATTGTTATGTCTTATGGAAATTTTGTCTTTTTATGCGTCATTGCTTTTGCTTAGACAATTGATACTGACAGACGAACAGTAGGTGATGGCTACAGTTTTTGGATGTCCTTGTTAATGTGTTTGATGTTAAATCTGTAGGGCTATAGAGAGACTGGGAGAGAGACTAGAGATGACTCGACAATCAGAAAGGTTTTCTGTAGATTTTGTGATGGCAGGGGCAACAGCAATAATATCGAAGAGTGCAGCTGCGCCGATTGAGAGAGTGAAGCTTTTGTTGCAGAATCAGGGAGAGTTGTTGAAGAGAGGGCATCTAATGAGGCCTTATACCGGGGTTGGTGATTGCTTTAGAAGGGTTTTGAGAGAGGAGGGTCTATTTTCCTTTTGGAGGGGTAACCAGGCCAATGTCATACGATATTTCCCAACCCAGGTAAACTCCCCCCTCCCTCTTTCTTATTTGCTTTTGTAATTTTGACATCATTTCAATTTTATACTTTTTGCTAGGTGAAAATGTAGATGTTTAATGGTTAGTTAGACATACTATCTTTCTACCTTATTTATTTATTGAAATTGAAGTTTTGATGAGAGAATTTGTATGTGCCTTCAAGCCTAAATTGGTGATTATATGGATTATAGTGATAGTAATTATTATTTTGTTGGATGTAGATTTTCTTTAGCAATTTTAATGTAAGTTTTGTTAACGAGTCAAATAAACATTTTTAAGATGTTTTTTCTATGTTGGGGTGGAGCCAGTAGTATGATCGAAAAAAATTTCACCGATTAATACAAAAACATTTTCAAGCATTATTATTAAAACAGTAAAATCAGTTTCCATTTAACTTAAACAAAATATGAACAAAAAAATCACAAAAATAATTTTTGTTTAGAAAAGTATTCGATATGTATCTATAAGTATTTGACGAGTATCGGATACGTATTAGATATGCTGGCGTCACCCCGATCGAAATATCCGTACATCATAGATGGGTTGGTTTGTTGGCCTTAGATTGGGTCTAGTTTGGAATATATATGGGGATTGAGGTCTTATTCCTTTAAGCGGTGGGTCAAGTTTACAAAAGGAGACAAGGTTGGCTTTATTAAAAATATAGGCGGGGTCCACACTTTGAAAACCCAGCAAGCAAGGTCTCTATGTATAGATGGTTTGGCCTCTGTGGAAGGAATAGATATCACTGGCTCATGTCCTCTCCCTCTGCCTCAACCACCATGGAGTCAAATAAATAACTAGCATGAATCTCACTCTGCTTCATTGACTCCTTCCCTAGAGGTTTCTATGGTGGCTTCTTCTGATTTGTATCTAACACAACAACTCTCTTGCTCAAATATATACGTGTGATCAATGCACCTAAAGGCAGACCATCTTCACTCTATCCTCATCATAAGCTATAGTAAAGACCCTAAATATCAACGATGACAAACCAATATACAAACCAATCCCCAGAGCATGTAATTGGAAAGCTCCCGGTACAGGAAAGGTAGATACATGATTCTTTGGATCGATGTTCTAATTTGTAATTAAATTCAAAATCCGGTAATTCCTCGTCAACCATCAGGTTCTAACCATCAGGATGTGGAGTACCCTATAACTAGAATGCGACCTCGAAAAGCTTAGGCAACCCTGACTTAGAAGGAACAACAAAATAGGAAGAAGTATAGCATCATGCAACTCTATGAGATCTGAAGGCCATCGCTTGGATGTTCCCCTAACCTAATGGATCCAGGGTCATCCCAGTCAAAGATGGTAAGAAGGAATAACATCAATAACATTCATTGTATGCATGGCTCTCAGCGATCCACATGCATTTATAACATGTTGTATTCGAGGGTTATTTGGACTGTGCTTGTTACACCACGGACAATCATCTTAGTCTTCGATTCATTACATCGATAAATGCACATTCTGCTTTATTGGGCATCTATGTGCATTTTAGACAAGCTTCTTCTCAAGCTTTTGTATTCCTAGCCATATTGGGCTAATAGTAACCTTATCTCTGCAATCATCTGAAGAGATTTATTGTTGTTGTTATCGGCAATCGAGTCAACAGAGATTTCAAATTAAGCACCACAGACATATGTAGTGATGTGCTCACTATCAACAGTTGTATTCCGAATAGGTGCATAGAATTCCCTAACAATATTTCATTTGTCAGCTTTGGGGACACGAAGAGTTTTTTTTTCTACAAAGAGTTGAGACCACCTTTTCGACTCAATTTAAAGGAATAGAGATATTCCTTACCCCAACGAAGTTCACTTTGCGTTTCATCATATTACAGGTCTAGAAAAATATTGCCTCTTATACAAGTCTCGATTATGTGGGTCTTAGAAGGGACTTCTTTCCTCGAAAACACGTACTTGAGTTCACTCTGCATTTTGCACAAGTTGCTTGAGCGGTGTGGAGGTTGCTTAAACAGTCCCTTAAGCTATCATCCACAGCGGCCAGTTTCAAAAATGCACATGAATGGGTGACATTAGGATCTATATACAATGTAATTTTTAAATTCAAATTAAATTGCATTTGAAGATGATGAAGCTGTCATTAAGATCAGTAGTGAAGTGACCAAAGGATATTGGACACAAATGGTATAGCAAGGGAGTGGTGCTCTCTGCCCTTCCCCATTAAAATCACACTTATTCATCAAATAACAAATTCATCTTTACTACATCAGCTACACACATTACTTTAAGGCATATGAATGAATTTAGAACTCAATTTTCATGCATTATTAGAACAATTTCTTTTTACTTAGTATAGTTTCACTTGCACATATTCAAATTGTCTATCTGTGATCAAGTCATGTATGAGGTGTGTGAAATCAAACTCCGACACAATTAAAAATCTCTTTAGATCAAATTATTAACAAATTCTGATGTGAATTTCTAATGCATCGTCTAAGTGAATACCAAATCGCTTAATGAGTGGCCTATATATATTTTTATTTTCTCATATTTTTGGGCACACCCCCTTTTTTCAATCCCTTTCTACTCTTAATGACCTCAATAAGCATGATTGTAAAATTCCATACCTCACAAATTATGCCTCAATAAGCATGATTGAGCTTTGCGGGTGAGCATTTATAATAAGCATATAAGACTCAACAATTTAGATATTGTTGACACTAGATATATCCTTTTTATGTCTCACATTTTTATATTTGGTTACATTGGACTCTTTTATCACATTTGGCTCTTTGACATCTTTTAAGGGATTTGGAGCTTTACTATCCTTTAGTTATGTATTAACCTATCACCAAGACTTCAGGTCATGCAAGGTCATTAATCATTTATGCTAGTAAGACTCTTAATCAATTAAGGTGATTAGTTAAGCGTGTACTTGGTTTTATGAATTTTCATCAAGATTAATACCATCCAAGCATGTTAAGGTGAAAGAGACTTGATTTAAGTCTTGAGCACTATGATTTATAACCGCTAAGTTCTCTATCCCCTACTATGACTCATAGTAAATGTACTTCAACTTTGATTTAATGATAGGAAAGTTACAATCCGAACCAAACAAAGAGAATAAGGGGTTAAGTTTCTTATGTCAGCAAGAGTAGTTATTCCCACCCACTTCTTGTAGGAAGGTTTTTATAGAGCCTCTAATTAACTCTTAATTAGGTTTTTCATCCTAATTAACTCTGAATTGGTTTTTGCTCTTAAACAATTATTTTGTGTGTGACCCTATAGTATCAAACATATTCGGGTATAGGTATTCGATACTAGCTTCTAGTGATCTAATTCTCCCATTATAAAGATCAAAATCAATATTACATTAATTTTGTTCTTCTAGCTTCTACTAATTGTAAATGACACCTAGCATCACATCATAATTACACCTCTAGATAACATGAAGCAGGTAAAGAACTCATTCAGTGTACAATTGTCATGCAATTCAGTCATTTTATCACACAGTGTCCTAATTGAATTATTATGGTATGAAACTACTATCAAACTCCTATCTCAATCTTATGTGTTCGTTTTTATTAGAACTGTTTTTTTAGTTGTCATTCTACTTTGGCTAAGGGTTCATTGAGTCATCCTAGAAGATTACCGAAGACATTTTCCCTTTTCATTAAGGATGATCAATTTTATATTGTATGCTCATAAGTCTCCTTTGCATGTCTAGCTATGCCCAATGATACATATTCAAGTTATATGGTTAAAATCTATATAATAAAACATATAGGAAGTTAAATTTTATCCCTTATATATTTTTCCTTCCCAAAACTATTACATCACAAATTTTTATCACATGTTCAATCATTTTATATATAATTAATTTATTGTTTAACATAATTTTTATTTTAGACATTATGTATATACAATAGCATACACATGTTAAAATTTTTTTTATTGAATTACGAATTTTGAAAAATTTTTGTTCATATTTATAATAAAATAATGGGTAAAAATAAATTTTGAATAATGTAATCAAATAAATAAAGAAAATAAAATTTATTATTTAATGTAGTGAGATCTATTTTTTTGAGCCTCGAATTTGATGTTCATGCCAGACACGGATTATAACTAGTATGAATATATAGTAGAGTTAAAACATAGAAATCCATACACAAGATAAGTGTAGTATTTCAGATCTAAGAATAAGTTGCATAACGGTAACTTGGGATATTGATAGTTATGTAAAACTCCATATGAAATATTCCATGTTAGTCAATGGTTATGTTCAGTGTACTTGGTCTTTAACAAGTACCCATACACTTGCCAAACTTACTACATGCTAGTCTGTTCGGATTATATAGTGTCCACATAGTAATTCTGTGACTAAAAACCATTAAGAGTTAAGTACTAGGAGTATCTATTTCTTCTTCTCAACGTTTTGAGAAACTATTTTCTTAGTTTATATTTTATGGATTTTATCCTGCATGTTAAAATGAAATAAATTAATAGCATGATAAATAAACTTGTTCTTGTATTTAATTAAGTATTGAATGTTGTCACTACAACCATAATATCATATATGTGATTGATTTGAGGGCATACTACTAACACACACTACACACCACCTCTCTCCCAATGATACGCTTCCTTGTCCTCCATTGCCCACAATTCTGATGTCCCTAACCAGATTTCTTGTGGTAGAACTCACATAAAAACACACACACAGATACATTCACACAAAAGAAGCACACATACACACACTGTAGACACATTGTATCTCCCTCCCTCCGTACCTCCCCTTTCTATCAAATTTTGGACCCAAAGCTGGTGGGTGTCGCTGTCAGCATCTTTGCCGGAATGCAAGCAATGGTGGTGATGGAATTCTTGAAATGGTAAGTGAGTTTTTTAGTTCGGAAGTTGTGGATATATGCAGAGAGAGAGAGTGAGAGACCAGAGAAAATTCACCAGGTGATGCTTACGGTGGTCTTGTTCAATGCCACTATCACAACAAATTTTGATTATTTTGTATAGTGATCAACTTTCTAGCACTGGTTATAATGTTTGATGTTTCAGTTTAACTAATTCTTAGACTGATTATTCACGATTGCTGTGCTGCGTTTATCATCAATTTGTGTGTGTTGTGCTGAGTGAAGAGAGGTTGAAGATGAGTTGGTTGATTTTGGTGTAAATTTCAATCAAGGAATAAGGGATTGTTTCATCCAATTCAGGAATAAGGAGGGCTTTGGATGAGAGTAAATGAGTCATTTCTGCACCTTCCGTTAATTTGTGTTATGAGGTCAAAGCACAAGGGGTAATTCATAATTTGCCCTTGTTTTATTCACGTAGGTTAAGCTTGAACATAGACCTCCTTAAAAGTCTATATATCACATGCTCGGAACAAAAATAAGTAAAATAAAGGAAAGGACACAACAGATTTCTATAATCTGTCCTCAAGATCGGATGTATCAATTTTTTATTTTTTGGGGAAATCTGGTGCCTTTTTAAGCTATAACATTATTTATATGGTTAAAGGGATACAGTTGTGAAAGAAAAAAGGGGCTAAAGAGTTCAAAAACAGCTCCCAAAACTGGTAGGAATGAGGGATATAGATGTGAAACAGTTTTCTCTTTGATGTTAATTTTAGCAGACACTTAATCTAGCTGACAAAAAAGGATGGCAGGAACAATGACATTCCTGGCAGGGGAAACACAAGAGTATTTTAATTTTGCTGTAGACAACAGTGGATCTAAGAATGATAACAGGATTGTACCACATTTATCCCTTGAATATGACCCCCCATTCCTTGTGGTCAATGATTCTTTAGAGGGACCAGGCTGTCAACCTATTAAGTTTGTAAATTGCTTTTTTATGTTGCACCTAACTGTACAGAATAATTTTTTCGCAATTTCCCTGTAGTTAATATGCATTGGATACTTTCACGTACCTTAAATTTGATTTCTGCTTCTCTTAGTATTTTAATTGCAGTTCTTCCTACACTTAGGAAATCTGTTACTTTTCTGACTTGGATGTTTAAAAATTTTTGACCACCAAAACTGATACTTGATAGCTATTATATTTAAAGTGAATGTGCTTTTTGTATTGAATAATAGAGAAAAACCTAGAATTGTGTTGTTACATTGCCTGTGTCCCGAATGAGGGGGAAGGAAGGGTGGATATCCCAGGTTGGCAACAAAATCTTTCGAGCAGGAAATATGAGAAAAAATGTCATTTGAAATTGAGCTCTGGTGCACCACAGCCAACGGCCAGCAGATGGGGGCCTTTTTGGTGTCTAGGGAGTTATGCACAACATCAGTGCATAGTTCTCTTTTTCCTGTCTTTTTTCTGCTATAAATATTCCTTTAAAAAATTCAGGTTTGGCATCAACTAATATAAATTATACTGCCTACACAATGATACTTGTAAATTAATGATAAAGGTGATGCTGTACCTCAATTTTGTGTTTATATTTTCCGAAGTGTTTGTCTTGATGCTGCTGCCAGATGTTAGTACTGAATAAAATTTTTATGGATTCTTCACAGGCTTTCAACTTTGCATTCAAAGGGTACTTCAAGAGCCTATTTGGATGTTCAAAAGAGCGAGATGGCTATATAAAGTGGTTTGCTGGAAATGTTGCTTCAGGGAGTGCTGCTGGAGCAACCACTTCATTGTTTTTGTATCACTTAGATTATGCACGGACCCGCCTTGGCACCGATGCAAGGGAGTGCCCAATTAGTGGTAAACGGCAATTTAATGGCCTACTGGATGTATATCGTAGGACCTATTCAAGTGACGGAATCGTAGGCCTGTATCGGGGATTTGGGGTTTCGATCATGGGAATTACTCTTTACCGAGGCATGTACTTTGGGATCTATGACACCATGAAACCTATTGTTTTAGTTGGTCGTTTTCAGGTGAGCAGTTTTACCTCCAACCCTTTTGTTAGAATTTCTTCTTCTTTGACTTGACACTTATTTTTTGAGGATCAGCTACAAGCCTAAATCTACTGAAGCTTGTGTGTAGGGTGGTTTTTAGTTTTTAAAGATATCTCATACTTCAAATTACTCTTGTTTTTGCCAAGTGAGGAGCTGTTTGTTGTTTGCATACAGTTAAAGATCTAATTTCTTTGCCAATCTCTTGTGCTCCATGGTGGAGTGTTAATCAAAATTTCATATTCGCAGGACAGTTTCTTTGCTAGTTTCTTCTTGGGTTGGAGTGTGACAACAGTTTCTGGGGTCTGCGCCTATCCCTTTGACACATTGCGACGTAGAATGATGCTAACCTCTGGACAACCGTTGAAGTATCATAATGCCAGGCATGCATTCCGTGAAATAATTTGCCTTGAAGGTTTTAGCGCACTGTTTCGAGGAGTTACTGCAAACATACTTCTTGGTGTGGCAGGGGCTGGAGTACTTGCAGGATATGATCAACTTCACCGAGTTGCATATAGAGTTGGTCATACTTTTTGAGTCTGAAGGAGCTTGGAAATAAAATTCCTGCAACAAGTTTCTGCACACTGGTATATAGCTTGAAAGTCGGTACATAACCCACAAATATTCAATTATTTTTAGAAGGCAAAGAGAGGTATGACAAAATAGTTCTCCATAATTTTTCTGTAAAATAAGAATGAGCCAGAGAATAGGGAATGATGATCCATCGTGACAGCTACCTGCTTCCCTCCAAAAACTCCGAAGTTTAGCTATCCAAGGATATACTTTTGATATTAAACTGCATACTATGTACTTGTTCTTATGAGCTAAAAGGCCAGAGAGGTATAATTGACAATACTTCCACTTGAAGACTGCACTCACAAGGAGACCCTTGTCACAGAAGTGATGAGTCCAGTGTGTTGTATGTGGTGCCCTTTGGGTTTTCTGTGTACCAAAAACAGCACAGAAACGGAAGAGGAAAATGACTCCCAAAATGAATACATGGAAGAGGGAAATTTGAAATGCTTCTTTGTATATTATCTGAACAGTTGATTGTGATATATCGATTTTTTTTCCAATGCCGTTGGCTGGATTATTGGTTTTATTGTGAGTTTGAAGTCGAAATTCCTAGTAGAACCATTATGCTATAGTTTGTGTAGCTTTTGTCTGGACTTGGGTGTTTGGCCAAGGGAGTAGGCACTTTCTATGCGTGTGGGAAGAAAGCAGAATAAAGCTTTTGAATAAGATTTGGATATCAAAAGTTGTTGAATGCGTATGATAGCAGTGAACTCCAATTTATGGTGGGTGGTGATCTCTCTATTGCTGGTTCGTTCAATTCTTCAATTCTGTTTTTTTTTGGGTAGCACATCTGTGATTAAAGCTATTTACAACAGGTATTCTTTGATACTTTATTGTCCAACACGGTCTGTCCTGACTTGCATATATTCTGTTTCATCTCAAGCTCCCATTCTGAACTTTTGGCACGCGGGAATGGAGAATCTACCTAACCCGAAAGGCATTATCAATCTGTCGCCTCCAATCTGAAATTTGCATCCACAGGTACGGTACCTTTGTAGATGGCTGTAGTTGGTTTTTTAGCTCTGCATTCTTTAATTTATTTGCACCCATGTACGAAGGGGAAAATAAATAACTGAGAGTGACGTGTTGGGTCACATGATCGAGTAGCAAAAGCAATGTCTCTCTGTGTATGCGGGGTATGGATATGTAATTTTTGATTCTTTTCAAACAAACAAGATTCTCCTGCATCTGCATAGGGTTTTCCATTTGTTTGTAAAAGAGGCTGCATTTTCCTAGACTATCTGAGTCTTTTTTTCTTGGGAAATAATTTAATTGCATCATAAATATCCTCAAATAATTTTGAGTTACAATTTTATCCTTTGTGGAAATTCAGTGAAAAATGCACATAAATGTCACCTTAAAGGGAAACTCTATGGTATATAAAAAATTTTTCGGTACTGGTAGCACTGGTTACTACTTTAGACGGTAAAGTTATAATTTAAAAAAAAAAAGTTACAGTTGCTCAATGTAGATCATGATTGATCATAAATATTCATGATCGATTATGAAAAATGTTATATTGATTTTAAAATTTCATGATTGATCATGCCATTTGAAGTTATAACTTACACTTTAAAAAAGTATAACTTTTGGTATTGATAATGCCGACAATTGTAGAATTTCCTTAGCTTAAAATACTTACTTTCCCATAAATGCCTTTGTTGTTTTTACTTACAATTTAGAGAAAGCCTATTTCCTCATTGTTAAGAGTATTAGGGTAGTATATGTAATTTGTTAATAGTGTTAGGGTTTTTTTTATAAATACAAGAGGGTGTGTATGTGTAATTTTTGTTATGAATTACCTATAAATACAAGTGATGTATGAGGGCTAGACTATGTTTTTGACCTATTTTTGTTTCTCTCTAATATTGTGTTAATTTTTTACACTTAACATAGTATTAGAGCATTTATGATCCTAAATATATTCTAAATAAATTAACTCTCCATTGTGATGGTTGTGGTACAGTTGCTGTGGTAGTGGTGGTACTATTGGTAAAAGTCACTGTTGTGGTGGTGTCGTTGCTATAGAGGTGGTGGTACTTTTGGTATTGTGGTGGAGTGTTGCTAGTTGTGGTGGCCTTCTCGCCGTTGTTTGGAGTTCGTTGTGGTGGTGGTGTGTCGTGGTGGTGAGGCGCAGTTGAAGGTTAGGGTTTACTGAAACCGTAATCAATGAAGAAGAAAAAGTGGTGGTGGTCTGTCGTGGTGGTGAGGCGCAGTCAAAGATTAGAGTTTACTGAAACCCTAATCAACGAAGAAGAAGAAGTCTAGGATCAAACCAGGAGCCTCGGGTCTGGATCAGATCGGGTCAAACTAGGGTCCAACCCACGGTTCAGGCCGGTTCAACAGTCCTGAAAGCCTGGTTAGTCCGGTTTAGTGGTCCAGCCCCACGGTTCAGGCCGGTTCAGCAGTTCAATGAACCCAGTCGGTCCGGTTCAGTGATCTAGCCAGTCAAATCGGCTCGGTTCAGAGGTCTAGAGGGTTCAACCTATCCGGTTCAGTGATCTAGTACTCTTTTTTGGTCCAGTTCAGTGGTTTAGTACTCTTTTCCAACCCAGTTCAGTGGTCCAACCCATATTTCTAGCCCGGTTCAGCCCTCCAGCTGGTCTAACTAGTTCGGTTTAGTGGTCCAGTACTCTTTTCTAGTCCCGGTTCAGCATTGCAACGCTTTTTCTTTGTTATTTGTTACACTATTATGGAACCCAAGCAAAATACCATGTCCCTTACTTCATCTATGCCTCCTACTCTTATCAATGGTCTCATGGCCTTTGATAAATTCAATGAGACTAATTACACTTTATGGTCTTGATCTGTTCAAGTCTTTCTTTGAGGTAAATGATTTAAGAAATATTTGGTGAATCCTAAACCTAAGGAAGACACTCTTGAGTATGATCAGTGAGAACAAGATGATGTTCAAATTATCTCTTTATTGTTAAATAGCATTGAGCCTAGTATTAGCTCTTTTTTGCTCTATCTTGATACTACCAAAGAGATATGAGATCACTTGGTCACTATGTATTCTGGTTCAGGTAATTTTACTCGTGCGTATGAGGTGTGCAAGGAGTACTTCTGGTTGGAGTAGGGTACTCTGAGTCTTGCAGATTATTACTCTCATGTTCGAGGAGTCTGTGAGGAGATGAAGACCTATCATCCTTTTACTATTGATGCAGTAGTTTGGTATAAGTAACATGAGGACCTGAATGTTGTTAGGTTTTTGGTAGGTTGAAACCTAAATATGAGGTTATTCGTTCTCAGATTTTGGGTGGTTTTAGTCTTCCATCACTGCTCGTGGTTTTCTCTCGTTTACAGCGTGCTACATTGTTTTCTCCTTCAGGCATTGATCATGGTGTCTCTATTAATCGCTCAGCTCTTGTGGTTTCTAATAGCCATAATGAAGGTCATCGAGGTGGACGTGGTGGTCGAGAAGGTCATACAGGAGGTCGTACGGGTGGTCGTGGGGGCCCTAGTAGATCCCGTTCCTGTACTCACTGTGGTCGTGGAGGACACATTGTTGACTTCTGTTGGGATTTACATGGAAAATATTATAGTGTTGCTAATCAGGCTTCTTATCAGGATGATACTTCAGTTGCTGCTTCCATACCTCAGTCAGCTCCACTAGACACTGGGTCAATTACTATTACACTAGGTTGAGAGGAGTATGCCCAGTTCTTGTCCAAGTATCAGGCTGTTCCATCTTCTTCTATTGCTATTTTTGCCTAGTCAGGTACTACTTCCACTTGTTTATTGTCCTCCACTTGCAGTCTTTGGATCATAGACTCCGGTGCTTCTTACCACATGACTGGTGCGTCTGATGTCTTTTCTACTTATCAGTCTACTATTTTTACAGGTAGTGTTACTCTTGCTAATGGTTCCTATTCTAAAGTTTCAAGTCTGGGGACTATTCACTTGAGTCATGATGTGTCCCTATCATCTTGTTATTTGTTCCTTAGTTTCTTTTTAGTTTACTTTCCATTAGTAAATTTACTCGTTCTCTAAATTGTTTTATAACTTTTTATCTCTCTTATTGTGTCTTTCAGGATCTCAAGACGAAGAGGAAGATTGGTACGGACATGAAGCCGGTGACCTATATTACTTTGATTTTGATTCACCTACTTGAGCTCTATAGACTTCGTTGTCTGCTTTTCAATGACATTGTCGCATTGGACATCACTCTCTCCAGAATTTGAAACGCCAAGTTCCCAGTTTTAGTTGTGTGTCGTCTTTGTTTTGTGAAGCTTGTCAACTTTGTAAGCATTATCGTGTGTCATTTTAGTCCAGAGTCAATAATCGTGTCTAGTCCATTTGAGTTGGTACATTCTGATGTATGGGGTCTAATAAAGAATTTTTCATCTAATAAATATCCTTATTTTGTGTCTTTTGTGGATGACTATTCTCGTGTGATTTGGTTGTTTTTGATGAAAATTCTATTTGAATTATTCTCTATATTTGAGACATTTCGTAAGGAAATAAAAACTCAGTATGATTGTCGTATCCATATTTTACGTTCTGATAATGCTCGGGAATATGAATATGATCTTTTTTTCGCTTATTTTAGTAAAACTGACATTATTCATCAGATTTTCTGTGCTTACACATCTCCACAAAACGGTGTTGTTGAACGCAAAAATTGTCATTTGTTGGAAGTCACCCATGCTTTGTTATTTCAGATGAATATTCCTTGATATTTTTGGAGTGATGCTATACTCACTGCTTGTCACTTTATTAATTGTATGTCATCCTCTGTGTTAAATGAGTAAAATCCATATTCTGTCATTTTTCCTAGTAAGTCCTTATTTTTCCTACCTCTTAAGGTTTTTGAATGTGTATGTTATGCTCACAATTTGGGTCCTGAGTTTGATAAACTTGATCCTCGAGCTACCAAATGTGTATTTCTTGATTATTCCCGCACACAGAAGGGATATCGTTGCTACAGTCCTTCTCTATGACGATACTTTACTAGTGTCGATGTCACATTTGAGGAATCTGTTTCATATTTTTCAGCACCTTTTCAGCCTTTGGATCTGGACTTGAGGTCATCTCTTGTACCACCATCCCTTCCCTCATCTTCAGATATTCCGCTGCCTACTGTGCTACCATTTACTTTACCTTTTCGTGTATACTCTCGTCGTCCTCGATTATTGACTGAGGTGTTCGTACTGTCTTTCTTGCCGCCTTCTGATATTGGTCCATCAGGTAATTTAGCCACTTTACCTATTGCTCTTCGAAAAGGTATTCGTTCGTGTGTTACTAGTCATCTCATTGCTTATTTTGTTTCATATGATACTTTATCTCCTATTTTCTCTTGTTTTACCTCTCGATTATCTACTATATCTATCCCTAAGTATTTACATGATGTATTATCTAATCTGGGTTGGAGGAAAGTTATGGAGGATGAGATAGATGCCTTACATTTTAATGAGACT